TTGAACAAAATCCATATGACTAAAAAATCAACTAACCAAGTAGATTTTTTTACCATCACACAAAGGCGCAGGCAACCAGGTTTCCTCAAATTTGTTTCAAATGAAAATGCTGAATAAAGTTTCACACTACAAGAAATTATGCAAGGTGAAACAAAGCCTTCAAAAACCGTAAAGGTACATACTGTTCCATCCATAGAAGCAGAAACCAGACGGGTGGTCATCCATTGGCACATTGACAAGTCGGTCACTTCTCCATCATGTTTACCGACAAACTGGACTCCATCAATCAGCTTTTCAACAGGACATTTGAGAGGCTCATCAGCAGAAGGGGGTTCACCCTTCACAACTTTAGTAGTATCAATTCTTAGTACACGCTTTCCAAACCCAACCACCAAAACCTCCTGTAAGATTATTTTTCATAACACTCATAAGTAAGAGACATATCATCCAGGCAATTCAAAGCCAAAAAGAAGAACAAAAAAAGTATAGAAAATGATTGTAGGCACTGAAGGAGGAGCCGTAACGGTTCAATGAAAAATTGAAGTTGAAAGATGAATTACTTGTTTATGACAGTGCCAACAAACTCGTGGATGAACAGCTTCCCCCTCTCCAACTATTTGAATAGCAATCACAACCTTTCCAGTGATTTGTGGCGTACCTTCTTCATCTGGACCTTCTGAAACTTTCCATACAAAGAGTCGTCCTTCTACACTAACACTGCACAAATTTATGTCAAATAACAGAAAGCCAAACTAGATGAACAAAAAATAATTAAGAATAGCGGAAAACATCTACCTAGCCAAAAGGTGAACATCCTCGGCAAAGAAAGCCATGTCTGTGACTCTCTGACAGAACAAGACATCACTTAGATCAATAAGATACTAAAAACTTGTAAGTTTACACCAATTTACAAAAATCGCATCTAACAAGGGATAGCCACAGAATATAATAGTAGGCGTTCAATAAATCAAGCCAATTTAATTATATCAATTGTCAAGCAGTGATATTTCCTGCACTTCAGTACTTCAAGCATTGGTCCTAGACTGCACTATCTCTATCCATTTAACTCCCACCGCCATTTCTCGTTACATAAGTAATAGTACATGAAGTCAAACTAACTTCTGCAGCCATCCGAAAGTAAAGAATCTAAATTTGAATTCATAAACTATACAAGGCATCAACACCCGGATAGCGATCAAAGAATGCAATGTCATTTTAGCAAAATAAAAGTGCACATAACCATTCCAAACACTAAGATGGGAATACAAACTAGTATACAGGATTAGAATGAAACCTGTGTATGAGCTCGAAACAAAGATCTCAACGCAGTGTGTATATTCAACACCCGAATGTTGCCCTGCTTCAATCCATAGCATATATACGACTTATTAACCGCAATTTGGCGGCCAAGCACAAGCTGAGGATCCGAACCATACTTGGTTATGGGTGTAACTTCGAGCTGTGGTTGAACCTCACCCTGCAACCTAACGTCCACATCGTAAACCACGTTATTGCCAACCAAATGCCGGCCTTTCGGTAGCTTATTGCTGGGCATTCGAATCGGGCCAGTGGGTTGAATCCCCATTGGGAGAGGGGGCGGCATTGAGACACCTGGAGGAGTCGACAACTCAGGCTCTAGATTTCCTGACGGAGCACCAAGAAGCGCCATGATTCGAGCACCGGAATTGGGGCTCGAATTGGAATTACCACTGCCGGTGCCGTTGGGGTTGGAAGTGGGAGTGGCAATGTTGTAATTACCAGGGGGTTGGAGGGGCGGGGTGGGGAACGAGAGAGACCTCTGCTGGAGCAAGTGGTGGTCTTGCGGAGAGTATTGGATTTGGGGGTGGGGCTGCTGCGGTTGGGGGAGGTATTGAAACTGGTGGTGGTGAAACGGCGCCGTTTGGGGCGGGTACGAGTAGGGGCCCGTCGGAGGAGGGAAAGAAGCGGGCGGGACTGGGAACGAGGAGGAAATCAAATTAGGGTTAGGGTTTTGGTTTGAAATGGCGGGGGTTGAGGTTTGGGCGGTGAGAGCAGCTGGGTTTGTGGGTTTAAAGAATTTCTGCATGTCGAAGGGCTGCGGTTGCTGCTGTGGCGGCGGATTTGGCCCGGTGGAAGCCATGGGAGGAGGAGCAGCAGATCTATAAATATATTTTTGTGGATTTTGTATGTGAATGTAAGAAATGGGATTTTGATTCCCTGACGGAATGGATTGTGTATATATAGAGAGAGAGAGAGAGAGAGAGAGAGATTGGGAATCTGGGATTTGCAGAGACTGTGGGATCCGAAGAGAGTGATGAGCAGGGAGGGGAGAGAGGGTGGAAGGACCTTGGAGTGGAAGAAGTGGGGACTTGGAAATACCTCACATTTGAAGAATTTTTTGGGTGGGTGGAACTACGGTCCGGAACGTCAAATCTCATGATATAATTGGTTAGAAATAAAAAAAATCACGATCAATTGTATTACGTCATTTAGTGTTTTAAGCCGTATTTTCGAAACATTTAAAAATTTCTTTTATATTTGAAGATTCGTTACAAAAAATGTATTAGCTAAATATATTTATCATTTAACGGTGGAATGTAATTGAATTTAGGAGCTTCAAGCTTTTGGGATATACCCATGACCACCATACGTATAATTATAATGTATTTGTGGCCTTTTTATTTTTCTTATTTTTGATAAAAAGGTAGTAAGAAATTCAAAAAAATAGTTTGCTACAGATAATTTGTTTATTTGTAGCAAGCATTTTTAAGGTATCTCTTACCGGATGTTCCCCGTTATATTCTTTCATAAATTTCCAAATGCATTTGTGACTTGATTTTTTTTTTTTTTTTTGGGTATACAAATGATTGCATTGATTGTGGATTTTTTCATACAATAGAACGATATGTGACACAAGTAGCTAAGATATTTTTTTAGCAAAACGGGATCAGCTAGTGCTTCATTACAGTTGTCCACTCTTTTGAAGGTCAAGAAGACTTATAAAGACATTTCAATCTCCTCCTAATTGTCATCGTGTGATTCACTAATAATAGAAATTGAACTCAAGACGTACCGTATGAAATATGGATTTAAAGTTCGTCTGTAACAATTGAGCCACCCCATGGTGATCAAGTAGCTGTGAATTTTGCATTACTATTCTTTAGTGAAGGTCAAAAACGAATTTTAACTTTTAATTAAAAAAATGTTTTTATTTTGGGCTGCAAGTGCTATGAAATTAAGAACTGGGTTTGCACTACCTGATTTGTGGGCTTAAATTTAGAAGCTCTGCCAATGTGTCTTTTTAAAGGGATCCAAAAATCACGGTTACGTGGGCTTGTGACCATTAGTAGTGGGCCATTAAAGGTGGTGGGCCATTAGTTCTATTTTGTCAAAAAAATTCATTTTCTTAAACAAGAAAATTCATTGAATCACAAGAATTAAAAATAATTTAGGATAATTTAGGATACGTTAAAAAAACAAATGGCTCGTTTGGAAGTATTTTTAAAATGACAAAAAAATAATTCAAAAAAATAATTTTAGGTTCCAAGAGCACTTGAAATACTTCCTACAAAAAGCACCAGTTATGCACTCTTCTTGTAAGAAGCACTTCAAATGCTTTTTTTTTAGAGTTGTTTTCATTTTTGCTAAGAATTTGTACCAACAATATTTTTCACTATAAACGATTTCAACCATTAAAAAGGCACTTACAAACAAGTTATAAAACAAATGCGTTTTGAGAATCCTAATTATTGGCTATATAAACACATTTTGTAGTCTTGATTCTATAACAGTTGAGCCCAAAACTTACTAAATTTTAAATTTAGCACAAACAACACAACATAAAGTATGAAATTTAAATTTAAATGTGTAGAGCTAACACGAACACAACGAGTTTAACTAATACAATAAAACTACACAAGCCTGATTTCACCCATTTCGCAACTACTCAAGTTAGAGGACTATGCTCTCCCTGCATTCAAATTTGAATCTCTATAAATTTAATGAAAATTACCATATAATTTATGTGACATCCCACATCGTCCAAGAGAGTGATCCTTATATGTATATTCTCATCCCTACCTAGCACGAGGCCTTTTGGGAGCTCACTGGCTTCGGGTTCCATGGGAACTCCGAAGTTAAGCGAGTAACGCACGAGAGCACTCCTAGGATGGGTGACCCATCGGGAAGTTCTCGTGTGAGTTCCCAGAAACAAAACCGTGAGGGCGTGGTTGGGGCCCAAAGCGGACAATATCGTGCTACGGTGGTGGAGCGGGCCCGGGAAGTGATCCACCCCGGGCCGTGATGTGACAATTTGGGATCAGAGCCTAACCCTAGTCGCGTGTGTGTCGACGAGGACGTCGGGCCCCTAAGGGGGGTGGATTGTGACATTCCACATCGCCCAGGGGAGTGATCCTTATATGTATATTTCCATCCCTACCTAGCACGAGGCCTTTTGGGAGCTCACTGGCTTCGGGTTCCATGGGAACTCCGAAGTTAAGCGAGTAGCGCACGAGAGCACTCCCAGGATGGGTGACCCATCGGGAAGTTCTCATGTGAGTTCCCAGAAACAAAACCGTGAGGGCGTGGTCGGGGCCCAAAGCGGACAATATCGTGCTACGGTGGTGGAGCGGGCCCTGAAAGTGATCCACCCCGGGCGGGGATGTGACAATTTACTTTTTTTTAACAAATGATATTATTTAACTAAAAGGTGAGGGAGTGAGCTAAGCCTCACGTTAGCTAGTCATGATAATGTGGTTCAGATTCTCTTTTGGCGAGAATCGAGGCTCACTTACAAGTAAAAAAAAAAAAACTACTAAACTATAGTACTAAGTGATCCCTATAATTTACTTTTAAACAATTAATTTAACTTCAAATTTAAACAATGATAACTTATTAGAGAATATTCCCATCAAACACTACCCCAATCACATCCCTCCGCGTCATCAAACAATTAAAAGGCAAACCATCTTTCATGCTTGTAGCAGAAAAGGAAAATAACGGATCCTTTTCTCTTGCCCACTTTATCCACCTAATATTAAAAAGGGAAAATCCAAAAGAACCCCCCTTTCGCAATTTGCTTGCCTTATAAGCTAACAATTCCCGTCGTGTTAAAGCGTTTCCATCTCCGAAAACGACCCGAATTGAATTCCCCCACATTATATCAAAAAACCATCAAAACCCACCTTCCAGATTCCAAGATCTCAAATTCCATTTTCTGGGTTCTGAAATTTCTAGACAGAGAGACAGAAACCCAAATCGGTGAGGTCGCTCGGAGGAAGAAGAAGCAGCAGCAGCAGCTTAAAAGACTAAAATTTCCCCACATTCATCAAAAACCCAGTAAAACCCAAATCCCAGATTTTGAGATCTCAAATTCCAGTTTCTGAGTTCTGAAATTTCTAGAGAGAGAAAGCAAGCCGTAACCCGTTTTCGAGTGAGAGGGAGAGAGAAACCAAATCAGAGGCAAAGATGTGCTGTCCGGGTAGGGTCTGCATGCTGTGCACCTGTTTGATTCTGGTGGTGGTTCTGGTGGGTATGCTATTCGGTTTCGGAGTCTTCAAGAACGGATTCCACAAGCTGAAAGATACTGTGAATATCTGTGACCCGACTGTTCCAGGGTCTTTCTGCGGGGCCGGGTCGGGTAGGCCCTTCTTGGGTTATGCTGCTCCCCCACCTTTCTAGATGGTTTGGTTTGGTTTGGTTTGGTTGTTTATCTCTTGTTACTTTTCAATGTAATCTGTTTCTTCATCAGTTATTACGTTTGAATTTCTAGGGTTTTAGGTTTGATTTTTTTATTGCACTACGGATTTGGGTTTTTCTTGGAATTTACAAATTGATTTGTATTTGCACCAATTTCAGTTTATTATTTTATTTTTCTTATGTTTTTTTGGGTAAAATTGGGGTCTAAGGACTCAAGAAAAACAACTAACTATTAACAAAATGGGTCAATTATCGACTTATACACAAGAGGAGGAGGGTCATCAAAAACATGAAAACCAATGTTAAAGTCATGGCTTAATTCTGCCACTAGCCTTCATGCATGTGTTCATGCGCGTATATAAGACATTTTTTTAATCATGATATGCTACACGCCACTTATTCGTTTTAATGTGTGAATTGACAAAAAAAACAGTCAAATATTGTAAGTAAATGAATAACCTTAGATTATGTTAGAAAAAAATCATTTAGTATAGATAATGTCGTTTGTTAAAAAAAAAAAAAATTATTTGACAATTAATTTAATTACATTATTATGTGCATGTGAAAGACATTTTTTTATAACTGACATTACATGTTAATTTAAAAAAAAAATTAATTATTAAAACACCATTGTTAAAATGATGAAAATACCCCTACCACATTTGATGCATTATTTTAGGTTACTTTCGAAGTTTTTTGTTTGAGAAGTATTTTTGTCCAATTAGTTTTTATGAAACTTGTGATACCAAAAAACACTATTCATTAAACTTGTTGGCTTTATATATAAGACATCATCAACCACTTCATTATTCTCACGATAAATATGTGAAAACGACATATCCAAGCCCTCCACAGTAACTCTTGAAAAGCAGTAATGAGATGAGCAATCAAAATGACAGTCATAGTAGAGTTCATTTCACCCGATTGAACTTTATTTTAAATAATATTAAAATAATTAAAATCTAGATTTTTTCCACAACTTATATCTCTCGTAAATCATAAAACAGGAAATTAAATTATCAAAAATAAAACAGGAAGTTAATCTTGACACATTTTATTCATAGTTATATTAGCTGAGCAAAAGGAGAGAAAATACAGCAAGGAAACGATTGCTGGGTTCTCACTGAGGCAAATGGGCCTAATGGGTATATGTACATATAGTGGGCCTAAAAGATAGCAGTAATAAGATAGTGGTCCAACTGATCCTAAGAGAATAAAAGAAATAGAAGAGAATGTCATATATCGGCGGTTATAGGGCAAAATCAGAAAATTAATAGTGGATAAGCTCATTTCCAACAACCTAACTAAATGAGATTTTGGATACTTTAACAACAAAAAGCAGAAAAATCAAGATTCAACAGGCTAACTAAATGATTTATTATTTTAATTTTGTGTGAGCATCTCCAACGACCTAACTAAATAAGGTTTATTGACTATTGTAACAAAAAAATGAAAAAAAAATAAACAAAAATTCCAATAAGTTAGCTAAATGATTGACTAGTTAAATTTTGTTAGGAGGAGAGAAAGTTAAAATTTTGCTAAACATTAAAAGTTATAAAGTTGCATTATTTGTGGGCTTCAAGAGAAGAAAAAAGGTTTGGGGTTTTTTTTTTTTTTTTTGTCAAATGATAGATTTTGTTAGATGATTAGATGTTAAATTAACCACCGACGGGGTTTGAACCCATGTTGTCATGTAATGGCTCAACATCTTTCCACTATTGTGGTAAGGGTCACTTGTTAAGTTTATAAAAAATAATACTAAAATATTTTAACTTAACCTAACATATCTAGTATTGTTGGAAGTCATGGCTGGTACATTTTTGCTTACCACCCTCAAGTGGTGGTAATGCTCATCATCCTATATATCACGGTTGGATGAAATTTAAATTTTAAGATTTGTGTATATCCACTAGACATACCTTGAAAGTTAAATTCATCTAACGGTGATAAATATGATGGTGAGCAAAATATTCCCAAGTGATGACTAAACAAATTAATATTTGAATCATTTAGTTAGCTACAATAATAAACACATTGCTCTACCTTTCGATGGTGTAGCTAAATTTTTTTTGGTCAATAACTCAATATAGTAGAGCTAACTCAGCATGTGACATATCATATATATTGCCAAAAATAAACAACATGTATTGTATTTGTTAAAATCTTCTATGTATATAAACAATCTGATGGTGCACAAATTTAAGTCCATTCCAATTCGAACAAGGGATGACAAATATAAGTCCAAACAATATCTTCTTCATAGTAGACCAACGAACGACATTAACAAGATTACCACATGGTGCACAAATTATGTCTATCATTTTTTTTTCCACAAGAAGAAGAAGGACCAAGTCAAATCATAACAAGCTTGTCAAGTTTGTTAGCTAGGTTTGGGACGAATTTACTTCGAAGTTAAGTTAAACAATCAAAAGACAAATTACAGCAAGTGGCACAGTGGTAAGGGCATGGATTGCGGCTCTCCAATAAACAAAAAAATGTGGGAGGTCTCGAGTTTGAAAAAAATATGGGAGGTCCCGAGTTCGATATTCTAAACTGGTGAGTCTGCTTGACCCTCCTTCAAAATAAAAATAAAACAGAAAGAAAAGAAAAAAGACAATGTTTTTTTTTTCTTTTTTTAGGAGAACTAATGAAAATAGACTGAAAACTTTGAGTTTTAACGATAAGAACAAAATAAAGGGTAAAGTGAATAGTACCATAATTGACTTTTTAGTGTAAAAATGTGATTTTTCGTTAAAATAAACAATACCGGGAGTTTTTCGTTAAAGTTACCTTCTTTTTTTACAATATTAATAGTGGCCACAAGCAAAGTTAGAAAGTCTCTTTTTCTCATGAAATAATTTGAAAGAGTCTCTTTTTCTAATGAAATAATTTGAAAGGTGTATCAGCAACGAGAGTACTCCCATCAACCGATTTCTAAAAACACGGTTGACGTCCGCGTATTATACAAAAATTTACTAATTATAACATTCGGTGTGCCCTTAAAACAGAAAACACATTGTCAAACCATTTGCGTTCCCTAACCTAAGGGAATTCCAAGATTTCGAGCAAGAAAAGCTTTTCGTTTGGCCAAATACAAAAACACAAAGAGAGAGAAAGAGAGAAACCCTCCCTCTTCTCTCTTTTTGGATCCAAATCTTGAAAAAAGAAGAGAAGGAGAAACAAAAGAAATCAATCAAATATGTGTTGCATCGGGTGCATTGCTAGGATTTGCACTTGCATTTGTTGCTCCATAATACTGACGGTAATAGTTTGCCTGCTGTTGGGGCTGGGTCCGATCAAGAGGTTCAAGATTATTAAGACACACATGCGTTTTGTGGAATCTTGTGAGCCAAGCTACTATGGGTCACTGTGCAAGCCTGGAAGACCCTTCCTTGGCAACCTAGGACCTTCACCCAGCTGGTTGGATGAGATAGCACCTTCACCATTCTAGGGTTCTTGTTGCTGCACTAACAGTGTAATCTATTTGTGTGTCTTCCTCTCTTCTTCCTATTTTTTTGAATTTTTTTTCAGGTTTGCTAGGGCTACGTATATGTTGTACCGATGAATTTGAGGTGGTCTTGAAACCTAAATAAACTGTTTTTACCTGTGTTTTTTTTTTTTTGTACTTGATTTGGTGTTAATCCCCCATTTGATGATATTCTTATGTACGTTGTTTTTTTTTTCTTTGGTTAAACAAAGGGGCTAATAGCCTGAGAAAAGAGAAATTACAAAATAATGTTACGAGGTCGAGAGACTCCGAAAATATCAAACTATAATAAATGCTTACACAGAAATGAAGCTTCCTCAAAATAGTTTTGTCCCAAAGGATGAGAGAGGCTCAGGTTGGCCAACTCATCAACAATAAAATTCATCTCACGATAGATATAGCTAAATATTACATTCCTTGTCACGTAGTAACATCGCATGACAAACTTGAATCAATTCACCAATAGGGTGATTATTAGTGGTACCATGTGATATCAATTGGAAAACGATTGTAGAATCATACTCCGCCAAAGGGCGCCAAACCCCTTTATTACGATATTAATGTGCTTTGCTTAATTTGCTTTTGTGCTAATTTTTGTTTCACATATATGATACATACATAAATATAATTTGGCAAGATTAGTTAGTATTCAATTGATTTTGATTCACAATGGTGGCTTTTTCCTTGCTGTTCAGAGAACATTTCTTGTCAACCGCGGAAACTTCTCGTATTCTGGTGTATATATAAAAAAAAGGGTGATCTCAAGTTAATTAGGTTTTCCGCTTTACGAGGACAAGAAGGAAACGTTTATCGTAATTCTCGGGTATATATCTCAACTATAAATAGTTGCAGTTCATCTAATTAAACCATTTCTCCGCAATTACATTTAATGTTACGATGACATTCGGTTCATGTGAGAACAAACTAGTCCATAACTTTACTTTTTGATTGTAAAAAGAGAAAAATATGGCCACGTTTCTCATAGTATACATGTATAAACTAATTATGCCAAAACCAAAACATGCAAACTCGAATGCAAACCCATGGCATCAACGAGTTTGCCATCATCTCTTTATTAATATAGACAATGGAGAAGTCTAGAAAAACATCTGATAAAGTTGGAACGACAAAAGAAACTCAAATGTACCCCTCCCATTTTTCAAAATCCAAAACCCAATTCCACAAAATTCCAAGGTCTCAAACAGAAAATGAACATTTTGGATCTAAAAAAAGGGGAAATTAAGAGAAGACAATAAAGTAGTTAACTGGAGATGTGCTGCAGGCTGTGCTTGTGCTGCATTTGCACGTTGATGATATTGGTAGTCATCGCGGTGTTCTTCGGTGTCGGTCCGTTGATGAATCTGAAGCATCACTTCGTTATCAAGCAATCTGTGGATCTTGTCTGTGAACCAATATTCATGGAATATCTGCATGCAGGCGTTGGATGAACAGAAAGCCCTTCTTGGGTTACACGGCACCTCCACCTTAATTTCCAGCTAGCTAGCTAGGGCTTTGTTTCTTTATTCTCGTCCTTGTTATCATTTTAAATTTTAGTTTTTTGGGGTTAGATTTTCCATTGTTTGTATTTGTAATCAAGTTTTCTGGTTTATATAAGATTTTTCCAGTCTTTCATCTTGTGAAGTTTTATTGACTAAAAAAGGGTTTC